ACATATTTTAAATCTAAGTTCACTCAGGAGTCACATTCATACTCACATTGTTTCTCTTTATGCTTCTCACCAGGATCATTTGTGATTTTGCAATGTCCTCTCAGAGCCTCTCATACCATATTCATTCATTACATGCCAGGCACTGTGCTAGGCACTAAGGATACAGTGATAGAGAGCATGAAGTCCTTGCCTTCAAGGAACGTATACTTTTGTGGAACAGGCTTACAGATCATGTACTACGTGAGAAATTGCTCTGAAGTAAAGTAATGCAGTACAGATTTTTCTGGTCAACCTAAAAGTATCCATACAGAGCTTTTCTCCAAACATTTTTGCCCTAAAACCTAGGGAATGCCAGTTATCTGGTAATGCTATACACATTCTTCCTGGGTTATTAAAAACTGTAAGATAATTGTATTTACACCAACATGTTGGTCACTCAGATCATTCACCAGCTGGAGAAGCTGCTAGTTTCTCTCATTTTCTCTGTCTTCTTCAAGATTACATTGCAGGCAATATCAATTTTCTGCAGCAAGCATTTGTTAACTTTCTGCTGTTAGTATATGGTAAATTCTAGGGTTGTACTATGAAATTTATGTGTATGGCTTTATCCCCTCTTTCAGGACTGAACTGAGAAACATCTTTTGTTAGCTTTAGCAAAGTCTTGTCTGTTGACTGACATAGTTTATATGTGGGAAAAGAGATTGGAGTTTTGACCACAACAGATTCTTTCTGTGGAAGGTTAGGTCACATTTTTACATAGTTTTTATATTATATACTAATTATGGAAATTGTATTTAAAAGAAAAGTAAGGTAAAGAAAGGAGTAAGACAATACCATGTTTTGTTTTTTTTGTCGGCAGCCTTTAGTAATTGTAGTTTCTAACAGACTTTTAGAAATACTTATTTTGAAGAATGCTAATTTAGTATCAAAGACCATGTTTTCTTTGAATATAAGTTCACTCTGCGACAACAACAAAATTTTTAATTTTTCTTAATTATGGAGTCAGAGGTTCTTTTGTACATTCATTTTTTATGTGATTAAATCCATATAAACAGATGCACACTTTGAACAAGGTTACATTTTTATTTTCTTAATGTTAAAAAACAGATAAAACTGTTAGAATTTGTAATGAAACTTAGTCCTTTCTGTGGATTCAGGAAGTCACAATAGGAGTTCTCCTGTGGGACTACGAAAATATTTCCCACAATCATCTCCTAAATTTATCCCTCCCACTAACAAAATATACGGATTCTCCGTAATACCCTATATTAAGAGGGAATGTAATATAGAAATTTTTCTGAAGTCAAACTAATCACAGAACAAAGACATTTCTGGCTTATCAATCTATGCTAACAAATCATCCCTATTTAATGATTAAATTCCATAGAAAATATGTGTATCAATTTTAACCTTGAAATATATACTCTGGTCTCACAAGAAATTTGTAATGAAATATAAAAATTAGTCAATGTTAAATCTGGATGGAAGAATTTCTAGCTTTCTGGTAAGGTAGGAATAAGTACATATAGTTCTGGGAAAGCAGGTGTAAACATTGTGATGTCTTCTTCTATTGATGCCCACTATACCCCCTTTCCACTGAACTATGTACTAGGAATTACAACCCATGCATTGAAAAATATTATTTGTTTTTCTCTACTGCTGCCACAATAAGCACACAGAATAATAGAATCACAGAGCAAGAAGAAAATGTAAGAGACATTTGTAACCAGACCCACAATTAATGGAACATGCATAGGTAAACACTTTCAGAATAACAACTTTTCTTAAAGTACTGTAACTAGAACTGCACAGTCTTCCCTGGCAGCATTTGCTCCCTGGACACTCCATCTAAACCACTTCCCTTCCTCCAATAACTCTATTACATTGTTATATTTTGTCCCTAGAACTTGTTATGGTTTAAAATTGTATTTATTGTTTACATTTTTGTTGATGGTCTCCCCCAACAGATGCAAGCTCTATTCTGCCTTGCTCATATTTCCAATAGTAGTTGACCCCTAACAGTTACTCATTAAAAATATGTTAAATTGAAACAAGGAAGGTAAGAAGTTAGAATGTTAGGAAAGAAGGAAGAAAGATCAAAATGTCTTACCACATGTCTAGCTGAAACACCTACTTTCAAATGAGCTCATCTCCTGTCGTTCAGTCTTTGACAAATAGGGGTAACAACAATACCACACTCTACAACTAAAATACCTCTATGAACTTGAAGAAAACTATTTAGGACAGTTAGCAGGCAATCAATCTTACTTTACCCTTAATTCCTTTTAAAAGAAACAAAGGAAAAACATAAGATTAAGCTTTAACTGATGATGACAGAGAACTATGAATTATTAGTTTCAAACAACATGAAATCTCACTCCTTAAGGATCCTATGTTAAATAGGCAACAAGTTCTAACATAAATTTTAAAGAAAGAAAAATATAGCAGAGGATAAATAGTGGTGGTGGGGAGTAGCTAAGTAGAACATAAGTTCCACACAACACTCCGATCACTTGGACTGTCACTGACGTTCATCCTTACGTTCTCCAGTTCTTAGCTATCTAAATTCCACATTTTAGCTTTGCAGAGTAAATAGCTTTACAGGGCCTGGACTCTTTCAAAAGGATATCTGATAGGATAATGGCATTTATTACAAAAACACATTTACTTAGACTATTCCAGCCCAAACATTAAGTGGAAATTTTCTCTCCCTAACATACGTGTTTATTGATGAGTAAGAAGGAGGTCCAAGAATGATTATGGATGAAAGAACATGGCAAAGTTCAATCATTCGAAGCAGAAATAATATCATTAATCTGAGCAATAAAGTTTTCTCACTGACAACCAAGAAGTGCATTCTCCTCTTTGCTTTGCTCTATATTTTCATTATTATGACAGGAATATGAACATATTGGAACACTCTTCTAAGGAAACATTTGAAAGATTTTACTGTTAGACTTTCATATGTTGTATTTATTTGGTAAAAAAAATTATCTGTAAAAATAGACATGGAGAACATGAAGAACATTTCAATATTAAAATCGGCAGGAAACTGGACAATCAAAGTGCTTTTGTCTTTGTATAAAGTTACTAACAATTACATTTATGGAATCAGGGAGGTAATGAAAAGAAAAATTTTCTTTCAGGAAGAAAATTCAGAAGTTAACCTGTAGGTGCCATTTAAAATAAATTCTAAATTTGTGACCACTGTTTTGGGGAGCGTGTCATAAAATGTCATATAGATGACTTTTAACTATTTGATAAGGTTGATGTCAAAATGGCATGTGTAAGTCTTAAGGTGAAGGATAAGATAGAGCAGAATCTTAACAGGTTGGCTTTGTGAGATGGTCTCATATTGAAAAGATGTTAATAGAAGTGGAGTGTGTGGGGTTCAGTGAGATGTGGTTTGGTGGTAATAGTAATGGAGGTCTTGGAAATCGGAATGAACGTGGAAAGATTTCTCCAAAACCTTCCCTCAATACTCTTCCATTGTCTGTTAACTAATGAGAAAAATGTCAACCTAATGACTTATTTCTTTGGCTTCAAAATTTGAGGGCTGTGGATGGTTATGCATTTGCTCATGCACCATATATTTTTTGAGTTCCTGTGTGCCACAATGCACTTCACTAGATGTTAGAAATAAAATAGGGAACATTAATTTACTTGTGTTCTCTTTATGTACAAAATGGAGATTAGAGTTTCTCTCCTTGCTAATCTCACAGAGTTGGTTTGGAGTTCAGGTAAGATTTATAATATATGCAGTAACATCTAATCATATGTAATAATGATAATAATATATTTGGGGAAGGAAAATATTAGATTTAAGGAATTTTTTCATTACTGGCATAAAAACATGTTTTGTAGAATAATACAGAAAGAGAATCAGAACAGTTGAAGGTGGAAGTGATTGCTATTCCATTAAAGGAAGGAACTAATGCTAAAACTGTGAGAGGAGAAACCTTCAGAAAAGAAGTTTCTTTAACAATTTTGTTTGGTGCCTTTCCTTGCCCGTAACATTCTTGACCTACATCATTTTTTTCAAACTTCAATCAGTCATAGGTCAAATTCATAGTTTTTGCCATGTCCATTTATAACCTTGATTAATATTTAATATTTTTTAAATCAATGATTTATTAAGTGTCAAATATTGTGAATACATTCAAAAATGCCACGTTTATATCATCCCTTTAGAGAGGACATCAGAATCACTTGCTATAATAAAAGGTTGATATAAAACTCAGTAAAATTAAAATAAAATCACTTTGTTTAATTCTAGGTATGTGCCATTGTTTAACCAAGGCCCTAAGACTGAGGCCAAAGAGTTTGTTCTTTTGCTTAAAAGGGTGGTTACTGGATACATGCTGAAGAAGTGTTACAGATATGCCAGAACCAGATTAACAATTTCACTGTGACACAATCAGAAGGATGAAAAAATATTGCACAAATACAAAATACTCAAAATGAAAAAGGTACATTTACTCAGTGATTACAATATTATTTAATGATCTTCTATACCGGATTGAATGTCTTATAGAGGTAAATACCATATAATCAAAGCCCTGGTATAACTGGTCCAAATTGTATGACTTCGTTGTTCTATTTCAATAGAATGGTCAATGAACTCTGCTACACAGTTGCAAAAAATTTTGTAAGATATTTTTTTTTTTCTGTACGCTGAACTCTCAAATTGTTGTTTATTCCACTATGGGTATCATCACAATTACTTAGAAGGTAGAATAAGTGGGATTTTATGAGGCTAAAGAATTCCTTCTGAACTAAGCTTAGCATACCCCCGCACAGATGTTTGAGGAAGAGGCAAACTTCTAAATGTGCTAGCAATGTTTTGCACAAGAACATAAGGTGAATCAGTGGGCAGAATAAGCAAGTGGAACTTGCTTTCAAGTTTTGTAACGAGAGATCATAGTCCTTTCTCACAGGTAGGAAACCTCAGTCCTCAAACCAATGAAACATAACTTAGAGAAAGGCCCCACAGGACTTACCTCCTGTTAGCATGAGGGCACATTTGCACATGCAGTTGTCATTATCAGCATCTTTCGTGCTGAAATCAGCCCCATGTAAGATCAGGCTGCTCTGTTTTCCTGCTGTCCCAGTATGTCCTTTTAAATACAACCTGAAGTTAAATAAAAACAAAACAAAAACAAAAATATAAGCCATTCAACAGAATAACAGAACCCAGAAGACCAGTTTGTTGAACATTTGCCTTTTTCATCATTTTCTCCTCTTTCTAAACTTATTTCATCATTTTCTCCTTCCCAACAAACTACTGTAAGACCCAAGTTCTCTGGACTGAAAGGAAAGAAGGAAGGAGGGAGGAAGGGAAGAAAGAGGTAGAAAGGGAGGAAGGCGGTGAGGAAGGAAAGAAGGAAGGTAAGAAAGACTTCAAATTACAGATAGGTAAAATTCTCTAGGCTTCTGTGCTTAGTGTTTATTTCCCTATGCATATTCAAACTCATGTGGTTTTTGATAATGTGGGATCCACAAAAGGAAATGAGTTTATTTTATTGCATTAATCTCTAAACAAAAAATGCCTTGTACAGTGTCCGTAAGCATATCACTATGCTAATAATGAATATTGATGATGTGCTAAACATTATTATTAATGGCATTACAAATACAATTCTCACTGATTGAGGACTTGTTTTGTGTCAAGTTCTCTGCTATATTCTTTCCAGCTGTGATTTAAGTTGTATATTAAATATGTGATCCAGCCATCAATATCCCAATTTTGCATATCAAAGCTTAGAGAGGCTAAGTAAGTTGGAGAGGCTTAGCTGTATTTGACTTTAAAATTCAAGTCTGTGATCATTATACTTTCCATTGAACAAATATTTGTTGAGCACATACTATATACCAAAAACTGCTCTAAGCACTTAAGATATTTCAGCAAAGAAAACAGACAAAATGCCAGGGGCTTGCATTCTAGTGCTATCCCTAACATTAAATTCAAAATCCCAACTGTTTAACCTCAAATACATGATTCCTCAAAGAACCTACCTTACTCTGTAGAAACATTTCTTATATAAAATTTGTATTAACCCAGATCAGGCATCCTCCAAAAACTGTACATATAGAGAATCATCTGGTCATGTGTGAAAAAAGCCTTTTCACTAGGCCTAAGAAATTGTTTTTTCAGCTAGCATCTTAGATTACACTTTGCAGACTGTCCAAGGAGAATACTGGTCTAGAATTTTAAAAACTAGTGTACAAATCCCAATAGTTGCCTAACATCGTTCCCTGACATCTGTTCAATTCTTATTGATCCTACATGCTACCTTCATGCCCAGTGGGCATGCAGAGCACATGCAAACTTGTGGGCATGCGGAACACATGCAAACTTGATGAGGTTGTTACTGCTTCCTCAGGACACAGAATAGCTAAACTAGGGTTGGCCATAATATCAGCTTGATACTCAAGGTCTTTCTTCTCTGGTTGAGACTGCACCCCTCTCTCTACCTAATACTGTTCCTCCGTTCTCATTCAACAGAATTACCTAGGAATATTCCCTTCACATCCATATATGTTAACATTCTCTGCCTGAGACTTATTTATGAATCCCATCCATCCACAGTATAGTTAATAAGTGATTATAGTTTATGAGTGAGACACTTCCAGGACCTAGGCCAGCTCTGAACAAAATTTTGCATATTATTAAATAGAAATAGTAAAGATCAATTAATATTTGCACTTACATATTCATATATATACACACACACATATATATATGCACACATATATATATATATTTGACTTGTACTGGCATTTAAGAATATATATATATATACCCCATTATTATTTTGTGAGGTTGATATTTTTAGCAAATAACAGTACTGTTGTATGCTTGTGCCAAGATATTTTACAAATATTCAACAGAGATCTTTGAGACTGAGAAAAATATGTAATTAAATCCTACTCAGGTTTTGTTATTTTTCAACGATTAATAGAATCTGTAGTTAATAGCAGGCTGAAGAAACTTCTAATGCTGAATCACATATAAGCTTATATTTTTAAACTCTGAGAGGCAGGCTAAAAGTCACTGGTGATGCAAAATTGTACACATTTTAAAGTGTAGATTCAAAGTTTAGGTTGTAGACAGCCCATGTGACGGTGAGTTCACCAGGGGAAAGAAAGGGGGAGTTACCAATGGGAGTCCTGGGGCATGTTACATGGGTGCATCCATCACCTTCAAGGTCTGGCCTGAAGTTTTAATTTGATTACCTTCTTGGCCTCTCAGATAGACACACTTGCAACATTAAAGGAGACCTCTATCAGTTCCTCATTTACAGTCACAATAGGAACACTGTGGGGTCTCCTTAGAGAAAGTTTCACACAGAAAGCCAAATTAAAACCAGAAAGTTGCTTGTTTGGTAAAAAACAGAATCAGTCAGGGGAAGAAGATGAGTGATTCCAAAATTAAGTAGCTGTAACTTTGCTGGCCGGAAATCTTCACTAGGTAAGTTTAGCCCACAGGTGCTTTGGATGAATGATGCCAGTTCCAACTCTTGGCTTCTTGTATTATTTGTGATGACATTCCTTCAGTTCAATACCATTTTCCTTCTGGTAACTTTAATCTCATTAATGTGGATAGACTTTCCAGGATACAATGATGTTTTACACTTTCTTTTGCAGGTAATTCAGCACAAATGTTGAGTTGATAGTAAGTGAGTGACTGCTATGGGCTAGACATAGTTTATACTTTATCTTTTCACATAAGGGTTATACCTTGAGCTTCATGGTTTCTTTGTGTTATCAAGGCAACAGGAATGCATAATCATAAATTTGGGAAGTTTAGAGAAGAAAAAAATATAAATTAACCCAAATCTCATCGCTGAATATGACTACTCTTGACATTATGGCTCATATACATTTAGTCTTTTCCTTATTTTTCCCACTCTAAATAGAAAATATTATTTATTTTTAAGTATACATGTAGTATCTGATCATATTCTTTTTTTTCTCACTTATGTGCTTGAGGAGACATGTGCACTAATGTTTATGGTGAAAACAGGAATAACCATATAAACATCAATAGGAAAATATCAGAATTGTGGTTTAATCAGCAAATGTAAAAGTTAACAACAGTAAGAATGAGTGAACTATGCCTCATACATCAGGGATAAGTCACCTACACATAATCCCGAGTCATAGTAGAATCCATGCACATATATTCACCATACAGGAAGGTTAAAAACAGGTGAAACTAAATAGTATGTGGTTTGGGCATATATACACTTATTGAAAAATCTTTAGAGAAATTCAAAGGAATAGTAAACAAAAGTTACAGGATGGAGTACAGCATGGAGAATATCATTAATGACTCCATAACATCCCACCACTCTGACAGACAGCGACCACAATGGAGGAGGTGAGGACACGGCCACATGGGTGAATGCTGAACCACTGTGTTGCTTGTGAAACTGTCATAAGACTGTATGTACATCAACGATACCCCAACAAAAAAAAAGAAGAAAAAAACATGGTGAAAGATGTAATATTTATTACAGGATGCCATCTGAATAGCCAGTCCTTTTGGAAGCCTTTCGTTCTTAGATTGGGATTAACCATCACGGTCTGATGAATTGCATCAATAATGTCATGATGGCAAGGCAGGTAAAGAGACTGAAATATGAGATTTCCCTTTCTCTAGTTGAAAAGAAATCTCATTAGGCAATATTGTTGAAAACTATATTGGCATATGAAAATTGGCATTTCATCTAATTTTTGGCATTAAACTAAATTTGAAACTCCTAAAGAAAAACAGAGATAGTTAATCTTTTCTTTTTTAATTTTTTATTAAGGTATCATTGATACACACTCTCATGAAGGTTTCATATGAAAAAACAATATGGTTACTACACATCCACCCATACCACCCATACCCCAGTGCAGTCAATGTCCACCAGAGCAGCAAGATGCCACAGATTCACTATTTGCCTTCTTTGTGATACACTATTATCCCGTGATACCCCACACCATGTGTACTAAACATAATACCCCTCAATTCCCTTCTCCCTCCCTCCCCCCTGCCCTCGCACACCCCTCCCCTTTGGAAACCACTGGTCCCTTCTTGGAGTCTGTGAGTCTGCTGCTATTTTGTTCCTTTAGTTTTGCTTCATTGTTATACTCCACAATGAGGGAAATCCTTTGGCACTTGTCTTTCTCTGCCTAGCTTATTTCACTGAGCAAAGTAACCTCCAGCTCCATCAATGTTGTTGCAAATGATAGGATTTGTTTCTTTCTTATGGCTGAATAGTATTCCATTGTGTATATGTACCACCTCTTCTTTATCCATTCATCTACTGATGGACACTTAGGTTGCTTCCATATCTTGGCTATTGTAAAAAGTGCTGCAATAAACATTGGGGTGCATATGTCTTTTTGAATCTGAGAAGTTGTATTCTTTGGTTAAATTACAAAGAGTGGGATTCCTGGGTCTAATGGTATTTCTATTTTGAGTTTTTTGAGGAACCTCTATATTGCTTGAACTAGCTTACATTCCCACCAGCAGTGTAGGAGGGTTCCCCTTTCTCCTCATCCTTGCCAGCATTTGTTGTTCTTAGTCTTTTCAATGCTGGCCATCCTTACTGGTGAGAGGTGATAACTCATTGTGGTTTTAATTTGCATTTCCCTGATGATTAGTGATGTGGAGCATCTTTTAATGTGTCTGTTGGCCATCTGAATTTCTTCTTTGGAGAACTGTCTCTTCATGTCCTCTGCCCATTTGTTAATCGGGTTATTTGCCTTTTGGGTGTTGAGGCATGTGAGTTCTTTAAACATTTTGGATGTTAACCCCTTCTCAGACATGTCATTTACAAATATATTCTCCCATACTGTAGGATGCCTTTTTGTTCTGTTGATGGTGTCCTTTGATGTACAGAAACTTTTTAGTTTGATGTAGTCCCATGAGTTAATTTTTGCTTTTGTTTCCCTTGCTCAAGGAGATGCATTCAAGAAGTAGTTGCTCATGCTTATTTTCAGGAGATTTTTGTCTATGTTGTCTTCTAAGAGTTTTATGGTTTTATGACTTATATTCAGGTCTTTGATCCATTTCAAGTTTACTTTTGTGTATGGGGTTAAACAGTAATCCAGTTTCATTCTTTTACATGTAGCTGT